ATTCCGCAGACGGTAACGCCTGACTGCTACGTTCTTAGTTGTTATACCCTGAACCCATTAAGAAGGGAAATCAGGGTAAGAAGGGAAATCAGCATAGTAATTATTTTAAGCATTTTTTTTATAAACAACTATAACGTAAAACATATTATTATATAAAACTTGAGTAAGTTAATGTTTCAACCTTTTTAATTACTTACCAAATATAAGTATTATTATTAAAACGACTCCGATAATTGCGTAATTTATCTTATGCATTTGGAAATCTTTGACGTCATTGACGTCATTCATGGATTCCACTAAACAATTTTCATTTAAATCTGTATTGGGTGGACAGCTAAAAAGTAGGCCAGCATTTTTTTGCGCAGCATTATTCATCTTTTGACATATACTAACATCTATATGGGTTTCTATGTTTCCAACACAGTGGCAAAGGCAACTCCAAACACAAAAGCATCTCGAATGAGTTTCTATTTCGAATGATCTTCTAGACACGATAATTGTATTTGAATGCAACGTAGGTGATGGTTTTATTATCTTCAATTTATTAGCTTTAACAATTACTAAAAAGAAAAAAATAAGATGTTGCTGCATTAATGTACGTAACGCTAACGTTTTCCGCAAATAAAACATACTTGTAGTTCAGTATATACAATACTTACATTCACAGTTAAATTTGACTTTTTTGCTCGATCCCATTATAAAAGGTAATAAAAAAGTAATAGTTTCTGATAAATGAGGAAGCAGGTTTTTTTTTACAGTTGCTATAACTGATTCAGTTTTTGAGAGTGGACAGTTGGAAATAGTTATGAAAAACTCCTGGGATTTCAGACCCTTGTTAATGACATCAACAGATATTTGAAGTGCATCTTTAGTTGTGGCATCAGTTACAATTCTAGAAATTTTTACTTTTAAAATATTTTTTTGAACTGCATTTTCTCTAAATGGCATTTTAATTTTAATATTAAATGCTGTAATAGTGAATAAATAATATAAGTATATCAATATAAATAATATAAGTTCAACTAAAGAACTAAACGAACTTTGAAGTTTAAAATATTTCTCAAAAGGTTGAAAAGCCAATATTTAAGCTGTATCGCTTTTGATTCTAGAAGATATATTAATTACCTGGCACTTGTTCATCTAACATATTCAGGCATAAAGTTTTGGCGTTTGTTGGACATTTGTCAAACAATTTTATTGAAGCTGGAATTGAGCCATCTTTAGTCCTTAATTTCATTTCATGATTAATATCTGGCATTCCACTTATTATTGTTTTTGCCTTCGTAAAATTATCAGGGGAATTTGTATTTTCATAATCAAGAGTAAATTTAGTAGTTGAGTTAAATAATTTTATAAATATTTTGTTATCGGCTTTATTTCTATTAGTATTCGTCAAACTTTTCGGAATCCAAAATGTATTATTATCTTGCAATACAGATTTTCTTGTCTGCAGAACATTTTCTCGCGATGTTAAAATTATTGAGAAATTTCCTTTAACAAATGTACCGGCCAAGTTATTTAACCTGAAAATAAAACAAGTAAGAAGGCTCTATTCGAGACTGCTCGACTAGGAGATACCCTGAACCC